ACAAACTTTTTCAGAGATTCACAAGAGCTCATTTGAAAGAATGTTCATTGTAGCATTGTTTGTAGTGTTCAAAAATTGCAAACAGCTGATAACATAAATGAAATACTGTAGAACAGCTAGAATGAATGAAAGAGAGCTGCATGTATTGATAATAATAAATCTCAAAAATCTGCATGGTAATGAAGTATCAAATTCAGGCTGCCAGAGGTTAGAGAATAGGGTGAGTGAGGAGTGGCTAGGGGGCTTCAGGACGTCAGAAGCAAAATATTAACATTTGAGAAAACAGTGATAGATAGAGTGGTGTACTTTATACCAGGCTCTTTAACTTCTGTGAAATTTCTGTGATGACAGAAATCTCCAACTGCTGTCTGAGAAGGTAGCACTTGTAATGTGGCTGGTGTGACTGAGGAATTGAATTTTTAATTTTATTAAAATTTAATTTTAAGTTAAATACCTGCTTGTGACTCATGCTATTGTGATGAACACTGCTGCTCTGTGCTTTTTAGTTAATAGTGACCCAAACCTACAGTTATTTTATAAAAAAGAGCTATTCAGTGACTTTGCAATTTTGTTTCCTCGCAAACTCTTGGAGACTTGCTTATGAAGTCATTAAGTACTGAGAAATGGGTGGCTTGAAACGGGTGTTTTACAGATGGTTTTTCTTTTTAAAATTTATATGATTCCTGACCGAATTTAAATAATTAACGTTCAGAGTATGAAAATATGGAGAGTAAGGAGTCCCTGGTTTCTGAGTATCCTATAGTGAGATTTTAGATAGTAAGGGTAAGAATCTACATTGTAACATTGTTTTTACTAGGGGAAAAACTGGAAATAACCCCAATTTCCATTAATAGAAGAGTGGACCCAAGAAAATGTGGCCTATTGGTACAGTACTATTCAGTGCTTAGATGGAATGTAGAGGTGATATTCAGGTATTTAACTAGTATAGTACCAAAATCAGCCAGTAAGAATGGCATCAACCATGGTCCTTCATTGTGTGCTGTACGTTAATTGATGAACTCCCAGGAGGTCCTTGGGGAGTGGCTTGGGGCAACAGCTATTTATTAATTACCATAGAAGTATTCATTTTAAGAAATGATTAGTACTCTCAGAATTTGACATATGTGGTAAATACTAATCTTCGTATATGCATCAACATGGGAGGTTACAAGAACATATTGAGTGAAAAAAAATAAGACGCAAATACCTATGTGTACTAGTGTCCGAGAGCTGCCATAACTAATTACTGCAAACTGGATGGCTAAAAACAACAGAAATTAATTGTCACAGTTCTGGCGATTAGGAGTTCAAAAGCAGGGTGTCATCAGGGCCATGCTCTCTCTGAAAGACCTAGGAGAGAGGTCTTGCCTCTTAGTTTCTGGCGGCCGGTCCTTGGTGTCCTTGGCTTGCAACTTCTATGTGTCTGTTGTGTCGTGGCCTTCTCTCATGTGGGTGCCTGTTCTGTGTCTCACCTCCTCTTCTAGGGACACCAGTCATAGTGGATTTACAGTCCATAGTAACCTGCTGTGACCTCATCTTGGTTATATATTTATGAAGACCCTGTTTTCAAGTAAGGTCACATTCACAGGTTTTGGATGACATGAATTTTGGGGGACACTATTCAACCCAAGACGCCATGGTATTGTTTTTATAAACTAGCAAATACACAAAGGAATCCTAGGTTTTGGAGGGAGTGTGTGTACATATAAAGCATTTGAAAGGGACTGGAAAGGTACATACTAAACTCAAGATAGTGGTTGATAGTGTACCCCCTCTTTGGGGGAATAAAATGGGATTTATAATCTTTAAAAAAATGAAATATTAACAGTTAATGTCAGTTGTGGGAGTATGGAGGTTAATTATGCTTTGCCTTTCTATGCATACTTGATTTTTTAAAGAGTTGATATTACACAGTATGTTACTGTACTCTAGCATATGAACATTTGGAAGAGATACATTCAATAAAACCAAATCTATATGGGGGGCAAAAGTTCAGGAAAAGACCTAGAACGAGTAATTCTCATATCCTTTTTGAGAAGGAAGACATTTTCAGATCCTTAAGCGGTTTCCTTCTACATATTATTTGAGTTAGTTGACCATGAAATTGTATAATCAGGATACCAGTCTATGACTATTAAACTGTATGTCTGAATATTAAATACAAGATATGGGGAATTGTTTTTGTAAGAGCCAGTTAAATAGGTTCTGAATAGGTCAGTGGCTACAGCTAAGTTACCAAGAAAAATTTTCTGTATGTTGCCCATTATGCATTGATATCCCATGGGAAGCTGTGAGAGCTTTATAACTAGTTATTTATAATTTTTCTTAAACACAACCAGAATTTCTAAACAATGACACATTTTTCACAGGAAAAAAGAAAGTTTTATGTAAAGACTAAATTGGATTTCTAATTTTTGTAGTAACAATGTAAGTTTACTATGTGGATACCATTTAAATATTTGTTGAATGTTAAATGAATAAGACTACTTTAATTCAAAACATTTCTTCCATCCAGGTATATAATTGACACACACAAGCAGATGTTAAGAACTAATGATCTCTGTTTCAAATAAGGATGGCTTATGATAATTTATTTCTAAATAAAGGAGCTGAGAGAGGAGAAACCGAACTATACTCAAATGTGTGACCTTTTAAAAAGACAGAGACTTCTCTCACTAGTAAAGTGCCTAATGAGTATCCTGTGTTAGATTTACTTGGAGACTTAAGAGCATTGGTTCTAAAACTTTTTGGTCTTTACACTTAAAAATAATTGAGGACACCAAATAGTTTTTTTCCTGTGGGTTTTAGTTCTGTAATTCGAAATTAAAATTGAGATATTTAAAAAATAATCAGGTCATTTAGAAATAATAGTTATTACAATAAACCCAATACATGTTAGCATCAATAATATGTTTTTATAAAAAGTAACTTTTTTGCCAAACAAAAATTTAGCAAGAAGAATGGCATTTACATTTTTGCAAATCTCTTTAATGAATTGCCTTAACAGAAGACTGATAGATTCTCATGTCTGCTTCTGTATTAAAATTGTTACACTATCAGCTATGTTATGTAGCACCTGAAAAACTCAACTATATACTCATGAGAGAATGAGAGTGGAAACTAATGTTTTGGTATTATCATGGAAAATAGTTTTGGCCTTGAGAATTCTCCGCAAGTGTCTGTGGGACCCCTACAGGGTCCCAGGACCACATTTTGAGAACTGGTGCCTTAGAGAGTAAGTCAGCGGGACTGATCACTTCACTTCTTTATAAAGGTTCAACTGGCAAAACTCATTATTTTGAATATTTTCAGCTGTTATATGTTTTACACGTAGGTTATCTCTTCTACTTGATGACAGCCATCCTTAGTCATGAATACAGGGGAATGCTTATACGTTTACATTTTTTACCTCACAAACAATATTCAGCTACCATGTAGTGGGCATTTGCAGTATGCCAGCCTCTGGCATGAGCGGAGACTGCAGAACAGGTCAGGGTTGGGTTATTTGTAATGGGGGGGTACTAGGTGACATGGGACTCTTGCCAGAGAGTGGAACTGAGTGAAAATCTATCGTGGGGGCACTCGTGTGCACTTGCATCTTTACTTTTTTTATTCTTCTGGTCTGTTTCCATACCCCCTTTCTCATTCCTCATATTATTTGGACTTTTTTGGTGGGCAGATTTACCAGAGAAATGTCTATTTTAATGATTTTTTAGAAGAACTGAGGTACAACCATATTATTTAGACTTAATTTTATTTTTCTGATTTCATGGATTATGATTGTGTTTTGTTGTTGCTTTTGGGTCTTGTTTGGTCGTCCTTATTCTCCTTCTCTTGAACTCCTTGATCTGTCATTTACTGTTGTTGTCGCAGTGGAGAGGATGGGCAGCTAAGTACTTACATGTGTGGTGGTTTGTTTTTCCCCCAGAAGTGGTGCATGAGCAGTTCATGTTGATTCTTGGCATACTTCCAAGTCTTTGTTTGAATACTTGTGTGGTAGTTTCTCTAGGTATAGAATTCTAGAATCATAATCCATTCCTCAGAAATGTATGGACATTGTTCTTTTGTTACGCAGATGTGTAGTGTTTGGGATGAGAAATCTAATGTTAGTTTGCTTGTCTCTCTTCTGGTGATAACCTGTTTCTTCTATCTGGGAGTCAATAAGATTTTATTGTATACTGTAAATTCAGAAGTCTTACCAGAATAAATTTTACTTTTTTTCATTATTTCTCCTCAGAATGTTGAAAGTTCTTCTTCTCCTTAACAAAACTTTCTCCTATTACTAATTTTTCTGTTTTCCTTCTAGTCCGTACTTTCTGGAACTTTTATCAAGTAGACATTAGGTCTCTGCTTTTCTCTCATACTTTGTCCTTTTGCCTATTTATTGCTATTGTCTGAGAGAACTTTTCAATTTAGTTTTTCAAATCACAAATCTGCACTGTCCAGTTTTTGTCTCTCTCTGATGTCCATGTTACATATCTACTGTGGAACTGCACTAGCTTAAGCTAGAAAACAGATCTTGCTTACTGCGGCCTGGAGATGAGCACCAGAGCTCCCTGCTGTCAGTAGCCGGAACAGAATGTGGTGCGGATCTTCTGGATCTTGACTTATTTGTGTTCTTATCTTTTCCTGAACACAAGTATGAAGGTTTTCTGTGGTTCTTGGGACAGCTCTATTTTTCAAGAGACTCCTCAGTTTTCCTATTTTCACTTTTTCCTATTTTTTTGTCTTGCCTTTGTGCCGTCCGTCTTTCAAATATATCTCCTTTTTGTGTACTAATGTTTTCCAGATCTCTTTTCTTTTCTAGTTAAGAAGGAAGGAGGAAAAAGAAGTGAACACCTTAGCACCTGTTTTGCTATCTTCAAAGTCTCACAATTCACTTTTATACTGTTTAACTCACCTTCAGAGCAAAGCCATGGCTTATCAGAGATTGAAGACATGGATAATCCTTTTTTCCCTAAAGCAGTCATATTTACTTAAATTTTTCTTCCCCATTACAGATATTAAAAAATATTACTTGGTATTCAGAGCGGGTTTTAACTGAAATTTCACTGGGGAGTCTTCTGATACTGGTTGTAATAAGAACCATTCAGTACAACATGACGAGGACAAGAGTAAGTATTCCATAGCTGTTGTTTTTTTTTTTTATCTTTATGCATATAGTACAATCAGGCCTGTAGTTTAAAGCAATCTCCATATTTAGAGTATTAACATGTTCATGTAATACGGTAAAAGAAAATATATCAGATGTGCATATAGTCACTGAAATACGTGATCCTAGAGTAATGTGTATAGTGTCTGTTTCTTAATATTTAATAGATTGTGTGGATTAAAGATATTTTACATGAAACAAAATGGGCAGTGGGGCATATTTAGATAAAAGATGTCTGTCTTTGCTAGATCAGTAAAACTGATTTGCCTGCTAAAAGCAGCAACAACGAAGTGTGTGAAGATATGAGCACAAGGAAATACGAATTCAAATGGAAAAGAAAAGTAGAACGAATACTTTAAAGAGTAAAAGGAAAATTTTAGCTGGATTGTATTTGCAGTATCTGGGAGCAAATTTCAGTTCCGCTCAATAGAGAAGCAATATACAGAATTCATAGCTCAGAGAAGTGGTCAAGTTTACTACACCTTTTTCAGTTATTTCCCTCAGGGGGCTAATGTGGATACATGTGCACAATCTTTTAGCTTTTATCTGAAGCTCTAGGAGTCAGACATGCTTAAGAATGGAGAATTTGTTGATTTTGGAAAGATGATTGTGGTATACATGCTATACAGTCTATGGAACCGTGAGGTTCTGGAGCAGCACACTGTAATTTAACATTAATATTTCTGCAGTGAAATACTTCCGATATCCACCAGGACAGGGATAATGAAGACCACAAATAGCAGCATAATCTTTTGCACCAGATGTAACTTCCAAATATGTGGTAAAAAAACAGAATTTTCAGGATTTTCGAATTAGAGAAAAGGGATCGTGGACCTGAACTTTCTAAAAATCAGTGACAGTTGAGCTTACATTTGCTTCCAGTTAACCTTGCTTCATATGTAGAGAAGACTCGGTCTGTTTTCACCCTTCTGTTACCTTACAGGACAAGTACCTTCACACCAACTGTCTGGCTGCTTTAGCAAACATGTCGGCACAGTTCCGTTCTCTCCATCAGTATGCTGCCCAGAGGATCATCAGGTAAATAGGAGCTTTAAGAGAAATACCACATTTTGCCTTTTGGCTGCCCCAGTGGCATGGGTACTGTGGTGGTCCCTTTTTAACGTTATGCACAAAGAATATCAAATTTTCCTGCTTAATATTTATCACCTTCTTATTTAGTTAAAAATACCTTGTCCTGCTTTGTTTTCTAATCCAACTTCTTGATCAAAGTTAATTGGATTTACTTTTCCGTCTTTTCATAAAATCTAATTTTAGACTTTGTGTCTTAGCATTTTACAGAGGAGCAGGTATATTTCTTAGTAACGCAAACTAAATCTTCACGTATTTGCAGAGCATCACATTACACTTTTAAGAGAGGGTAGCTGTGTTTGTTTTAGAGACTTCTTTTCATAGCAGTTTACTATTAATTACTTTCCTATTACTGTCGTAACAAATTACTACAAATTAGTGTCTTAAAACAACCCAAATTTATTATACAGTCTGTAGATTAAAAGTTCCACACAGACTACAATCCAGGTGCCATAGGCCTGCATTCCTTTCTGGAGGCTCTAGAGGAGAACCTTTTCCTTGCCTTTTCCAGCTGCTAGAAGCTTCAGCCTTCCTTGGCTCGCAGCCCCTTCCTCTGCTGGCAGAGCCAGCAGCAGTGAGCTGTTGAGTCCTCCTCACATCTCATCTCTCTGACCTCCTCATCTGGTTCCCTCTTCCACGTTGAGGATCCTTGTGATTGCCTTGGCCCTCTCCGGGTAACCCAGGCTCGTCTCCCCATCTCAGGGTCCATGGCTGAATCAAACTGCAGGGTCCCTTTTGCGATATAAAGCAACACATCCACAGGTTTGGGGGGTTGGGAGATGGATATTTTGGGAGTAACCATTACTCTGCCTGCCACAACATCACCAGAAGCTCATTCCTGTCCCTTCTCCACCCTTTGCCAAAGATATGCTCTTTAAGGGTAGGAAACCTATTAACAAATGATGAAGGAATATCGTTTGCAGGGGGTTTTTTTTGTTTTTGTTTTTGTTTTTTAACATGTGTGGGTACTTTTTGGTCTTTAGGTAGATTGTCGTAGTGGCTCTCAAGTAGAACATTTATAAGTCAGTGAAGTCAGATTGTTTCTTTTGGGTCTTGTTTTTGGAGCACTGCAGTTCTGATGATTAGGTCTTGTGTTGCAGTCATTGGAGCTGATCGTAAGTCCATGTCACTTTTAAACTCTTGATCTCACTTTCCATCCATTGGTTAGAGATGCTTATTGACCTGGCCTCATCTTTAACAGTTACTCAGCATTAACTTATGTTCTTGGTCTCTATATTTATCCTCAGAATTTAGCAGAGGCTATTTCCAGCGAATCACTGTTTTATTTAGGTCTGGTATTAATACTATATTGGATTACTTTTTGGGTTTGTACTCGAGTGATTGTCTATTTGACTAACTTTGTACCAACACTAACGTGATGACTTAAAGCACACATAGTATCTCCTCATAACTCCCGATTCTTCCCGGTGTTCTGAAGAGTCTTTATTTTCTAAATATTAATTTTTGTTACTCTGCTGTAGTTCAGAGATTTAATGAGAGAGATTTAATGATACTGTGCTATTTTGCAGTCTATTTTTGTGTGTATGTGAAGCTTCATAATGGCTTGATGAAGGTTTCAGTACAGGATTCATTTTCCTCAATGGATACACCAACATTTGGCCTGTTCAGTATGAGATTGGCAAATTACTGGTTTACAATTTAAGTTCTGATAACATGTGTGAAGCAAGATTAAATAAAAATTTTCTAAGAGTTGAAAAGCAAAGCACGGTGCCCAATTTTCTATCTGTGATGAGTAAAGCAGAAAACCAATTGTATTTGGACAAATAAACAGAATTTAGAGTTGTGATTTAGGAATATTTAGGTCAGGTTTATCATCAATAAGGAATACCGCTTTACTTGATGTTAATGGAGTTTTATTTAGCATTGTATTAGTGAGGAACTGCTGTGTTACACACTGCAAGGTATATCCAGATTAGTTGTAAAAATTCCTACCCTCAAGTAGCTTCTACTTCAGTAGCTGAGATAAGACAAAGAACATACATGTATACAGCAGAATGTAGTAAGTACTAGAGTGAGAGAAAAACTCCTCAGGTGAGGGTGAGTGTTGGTTCAGAGAACGGTGAGATCACCTCTTCCTGAGAAATCAGGCAAAGTGAGTAGAGAGAGATGTCTCTCAAAATTGGCCTGATGAGGAAAAGCACCAACCACAACAAAACAGAACGGGAGGGAGTGTGATAAAGGGCATTCTATTTAGAAAATAACCAGTCCCATTCAACTGGCATGTTGTGGACCTGTATAGGGATTAGAGGAGAAAGCTTGGAAGGAAAGCTGGGGCCACCTTGTGGAAGGTGCTTAACTATTAGATGCACAGTTTAGAATAATGGAAGGAGTTGAGAGAAAAGAAGGTCTGATCTTCAGTAACAGAAAGGAAACTGTGTATGAATGAGTTGTAAATGGATTTTAAAAGAAATAGTTGAAAGTTTCAAGTTTCTGGCTTCATCAGTCTCAGCAGATGATGTTAGTATGCCTCGTTTGTCACCCGGAGGGCCGGGCAGTTCTGACAAGTTTCTGAGTGCTGCCAGCGCTCCTGGTTCAGGGGCCGCATCTGAGCAGCCCGTGTGGACCAGACATCTTCACCGTCCAAGAGAGGAGAGAGCCCCTGTTAGAAACGCGTTAGTGTATGCACGCTAAAGGTTGGAAAACACTTTGAGTTCAGACCTGGAAATCAAGATTTATCCCTGTAGAAAACACTTGCTTTGAATTGGAAATGGGGGCCAATTTTTTTTTTTTTAATCTTGAGGAAACTCATTTTCTACTAAATGTTTGTGTTTAGGGTATAGGATTGTAAAGTATGATAAGGAATGCCTAACAAAAACTGTTTAGATACACAGATTATTATAGCAGTACAGCTCAAGATTCACCAGATGCTCCAGTAACTCCTTCAAGTGAGAAGTAATCAGTTTCATATACACATTTTCTAAATCCTGCTTTAGGAAGAGACCGCACAGTTCTGTATCTGTCAGTTGCAAAACTGAGAAGAGCCAGTATTTCCTGTGATCTTCAACAAAATGCAAACTAGAGTAACATGTTACATTGCTGTGAAGTAGGGTGTGAATAAAGCTTCTACAAGCCGCCTTAGCTGGACATAAGTGTAAGGAATGATTTCATATGGTGTCTTTGCTATTGTTTCATATTCAGTGACCATGTATCTTCTATAAACTCTTGGTATTCTAGAAAAATCTCATAAGCATGTATGATTTGAGTTTTGTTCAACTGTAAAGTCTTTTGAATATCTATAAGTATGGATATTTGATATCATTATTTGGGATTATACTTAATTAAAAATATTTGTAAAGAGTATATGCAAGGGATTGTGAGGGGTTACAAAGACATCATTACTTACTTCCTGCCCTTAGTACTTTCTCTACTGCCCCTCCCATCTCCCCGACTGGCTCTTTCCTCCTGATTCGCCTTCTCCTTTGCCTTAACACATAACTTTCCTTCAGGATTTCATGCTACGTTGGTTTTTTCCTTCTCTCTTTGCTCATTTTCCCTAGGAGTTCACATATATGCCTGTAACTTCACCTACCATGCACTTGTGTACAGAAAACCATTCAAATTTACATTCACAGTCCTGATGTCCCCCTTTTTCCTGAGGCAGGCAGTACAGTTTGATGGTTAAGAGCACAGACTCTGAGTTGGGGAATCCCACCTCCAAAACTTACCAACCGTGGAACCTTGGAGAAGTTACTTAACTTCTCTATGTAGCTGCGTCCCCGTGGTAAGATGAGGGGACAGTAGTTGTTCTCTCAGTGGATGTGGTGAGGGTTAAGTGAGTTAATATTTGTAAAGGGCCTGGCACGTAATGTGCACTCTATGTACGTGTTGACTGGCTGAACACTAACTCTACTAACTTCACTACCTGGATAGCCCACACTTACCTCAAACTGTGATTAAGTATAAAACAACTCATTTTCAAACCTGCTCTTCCTGGGGCGCCTGGGTGGCTCAGGTGGTTAAGCGTCTGCCTTCAGCTCAGGTCATGATCCCGGGGTCCTGGGATCGAGCCCCGCATCGGGCTCCCTGTTCCGCGGGAAGCCTGCTTCTCCCTGTCCCACTCCTCCTGCTTGTGTTCCCTCTCTCGCTGTGTCTCTCTCGTCAAATAAATAAATAAAATCTTTAAAACAAAAACCTGCTCTTCCTTTTAAATTCCCTGTCCTGGGGCGCCTGGGTGTGGCTCAGTCGTTAAGCGTCTGCCTTCGGCTCGGGTCATGATCCCAGGGTCCTGCGATCGAGTCCCACATCGGGCTCCCTGCTCAGCGGGAAGCCTGCTTCTCCCTCTCCCACTCCCCCTGCTTGTGTTCCCTCTCTCACTGCGTCTGTCTCTGTCAAATAAATACATAAAATCTTTAAAAATAAATAAATAAATAAATTCCCTGTCCTGGTTAATAGTGGAATAGCCCTCACCCAGCCACCTAAATTACCAAGCCAGAACCCTACCAGTAATTCACCATCATTTCTCCCTTTCCTTTAAATGCTATATCCAGTTGTGCCCTCGAAAAGTTTTGTCTAACTCTGCCGTTGAAACTTGCATTCGTTCATGCTCCGTGTTCTGTCTCCACTACTCCTGCCTTGGTTTGCATGTCCACCATCTTCACCCATGCCGTAGCAGTAGCCGGCCTGATCCGTTGCCTCCTTACTTGTCCTGCCACGGTAGGCCTCGGCACTGCTGCTTCCATTTCATACCTGGTAATGTTACTCTGTGCTTCCCTTTGTCACAGGTTACAGTTCAACCTCTTTAGAGCAGCGGCTCTCAGTGTGGGGAATTTTGTCCCTAGGGGACATTTGGCAATGTCTGGAATAAGGTTTTGTCTTTTCGTTGTTTTGTGGGGTTTTTTGGTTGGTTTGGTTGGGGTTTTGGGGGGGTTGCTGCAACTGGGGAAGAGGTTGCTGCTGACATCTAGTGGGTAGAGGCCAGGGATATCCTA